ACGGTAACTTTTGACAGAGATGTTAGATCGAGTAATGACGTTTCCCATGATTGAAAAAAAAACATCTTTCCGTCGAATATGGCCAATCCTGTATATATTAGTTCAACACTCAGACCATAGTAACGCTTCGTATTTAAAATATATTATAAAATTTTATACTGTATTAATTTAAATATAAAAAAATTATAAATAGGAGTTAAATGTAATATACAATGAATATAAATAAAATATGAGTTCATAATTAATTATGACTTTATATCTTATAGGCATATTTCGATATACACTGCCAGTACTGAAAATCTGAACAATATATAATACGTTACATAAACTAAAGATTTTCAATACTGGTAATGCATATCGGAACATGGTCGATATATCTTATATCTTATTATTGTGTCCATTGTGCGTTATATTTATTAGGTGTTGGAATTAATTCGTAGCGTTTTTTAATGAAAGAATGTTATTTATTTCACATGAGCATTAAAAAATACATTAATGAAAGTACTTCCCATCACTTGTAAAACGCTACGAATTAATTCCAACACCTAATAATTTTTACTTCTAATTGTTTTATGTCTATAAATTATAGGCACAATTCCTATAAATTATAGACATTGACTACATTCATATCTTATGTCCGTTTTCACTAATATAGATTAACTTTAATCTCGGTTCAACTTACTCTTCGTAATCTTTAAAATTAGAAAAAGACAAAGATAAGTTGAACCGAGATTAAAATTAATCTATATGGATAGAAATGGATATTAATCGTTTAATAACATTAGTAGTTAGAAAACTAACCAGTCATTCCATTTTTCAGAGGAATATAGTTATGATTAGTCAGTTTCATAACTACAGATGTTATTAAACCCGATTAAGTATGCCGTGTAAACATGATCATTAATTCCTATTCTTTCATTATGTTCATGTTCTTATTTTTTATTGGGTTATACATATATATAGGATTCACACATCAATATATACGATTACAAGTCTTAACACTCAAAGCGAGGTTTCTAGCAAAGACTTCGTTTTGCAATATTATTTCAATAATGTTGCAGCAGTATTTTAAAAATATTTCCAGCAAGAGACACAAATCGACACAAGAATTATTCTGTCTTTATTTCTTACTGATTATTGAACAAGGACAAGATGACTTTTGTGTCAATTTGTGTCTCTTGCTGGAAATATTTTTAAAATACTGCTGCAACATTATTGAAGTAATATTGCAAAATGAAGTCTTGTAATGTCTCTGCAACATTGTATTGCAATATACATCGTTGAAATATTGCTACAGCAATGTTGCTACAAATTTCTATGCTGTATGGGAAGTTACATAACAATTGTAAGCATAGATCTGAGAATATTTTTTTACTTGTGAGTATAATTGTTTGACGTCTTGCAGTGTAATTATATTCCTCTATGATAGCAACTTCGTTTTTATTTTTTAATTGATTACATATATATTCAAGTTGCATTAATGCGTCTTTTACCTGTTATTCCAATAATTTGGTATATTGTCTTTGTATATAATAATGTATAACAATTTTTTAATACATAAAATTTACTATGTTGATATATAATTTATAAAAATGCATTTGACGCGGATAGTTTAGATGTCAAATGCACATTCTTGTTAACTTACAGCTTTGATGTTAAAATAGAATGAGTTGTAGATTATTATGCAAAAAATAAAGAAAGACGTGGAAGACAGGACTTTACTGATGAGATTTGAAGTACATTTTGATGTTATTAGCGTTGTCAACTACTAGTAGTAATTTTATTTTTAATTACATGTTTATAAACAGTTATAAATTTATATAACACTCATTTTACATAATAATAAAATATACTACATGATAATGAAGATTTGTAAAATAATAACTTATCACACAATATTGCTATTATATTCTATTCTTACCTGAAATACAATACCCGCTGTCAGAATAGTAGAAATGAGAATAAACTGAAATCGTGTGAATTTAGACTGTTGATAGGGCCACAAGCCAATAACAAGCAACAGAATTCTATTGAAGCTAAAATACTGAATCTCTAGATGAATCATTCTCTTCGATGTCCTGGATGCGACTGGTTACCAAGCAGTCGAGTACTATTATCCCTTCTCCTTTTCCATCGATTATTTAGATATTCTCTCTTATAGTATAAATTTTTAGTATGAATGTCCATAATTTGTATAATATGCGACTATATAAAATATCCATTGTGAGATCACGAACTTATCCATATTTTAGCATTCTTTACAGTAAGAACCATTAAGGCATCACTCTGACATCTTCTATCAATTGCAACCATATTATTGCGTTTACTTTTAATATATTATAATATATTCAAGAAAACACTACACGCTATTACCGTGGCAAAGTACTCTAATGATTAATAAATAGTCCTGACAACCAAATGGAAATTTTTAGTGCTTTTTATCAACAGGAAGTGTCATTTTCATTCTCTGGACGTATAAGGGAGTTATATATCATTTAACTCTGTACCTACATAAATTATTGAGGTAAGAAAAATTATTGATATTTGAAAGAAAAGTAAGATAATTTGAAAGAAAAGTTAGAAAAAATTTACAAATATTTTTTGTTATTTTAATCATACAATACTAATGATTTTAAATAATTGTTTCGGTATAAAAATTTGTAAAATGATCCTTGTTTGTTATGTGAGAAAGTCGTTTACACATTAGTAAATATGTAATTATTGTGATTCGTCATATTTTGTGCCAGAGAATTCGATAAAAACAAATATAGAATAAAAATAGCAAATAACACAGGCAATAAAGTGTTTTTGATAGAAAATAAATTGTCAAAGGAGAAAATCTATGAGTCAAAGCTAGTGATTAATTATTAAAAATCAATTTATATTCCAAATTCAATCGCTATAATCATTTAAAATACAAACATTTCAACCTTTATTAGGTCATCTTTAATGTAACTTATAAAAATTACAATTGAAAAATAAAAATAAAAATAAAAAGGTTGCAATATTGGTTATATGTATAATAGGTACATGATATATGAAAATTAAATAAAAAATTGTGCAAATATAAAGATTAAATAAAATTGTCGCATGGTTAAATGTTCAAATATTAATGTTCAAAAACGTTTAAATATTACATATACAAAAAACATAGAATAAGACTTGTCGCATGATTAAAATCGTTTTATGATTCGTATGAGGTCACATAAAAATTAGAATTAACATTACATATATTATATGTTTCCCTTCAACGGCATCGTTAATTTTCAGTATGTATTGTCGTTGATAAAGACTTGCTCTCTCACTGCAATTGCTTAGAAGATAACAAAAACCATTGTCCTATGTACTTGTCTAAGTAAATCGACGCTACTTTTTGTAGTGAAACTAAACTGTAAGACAATAAAAAGATTATATTTTTAAATTTATTCTCAATCTTAAATTTGAATTTAAGATATATCTTAAATATCGCCCACACGTTTTCTCAGCTCACACAATTACAGTGGATAATTTCCTCAGAGGTATTTCCTCAAAATATTGATTGTCGCTTAATTAGATATTTCTCCAAGGTTATGTTACACAATAATACAGAAATAAGGAAGGAGATTGAGTTACTGTCATAATTTTAGAAGAAGAAAAACATGAAGTGGTAGGAAGAAAAAATTAAGAAGGAGATAATGCTTGTAAGATAGGAAGATAGAAATTAGGCAGGATTCTGTGTCATTTTGCTTATTTAAACCATTTAATTGCTTCTTAATGTGTATCATTTCCGAAATCAATCTTTTGTTATGTAACTCGTTAAGAATTTTAACTTCATTCCATTTAAAATTATGATCGAGAGTCCATCTATGGTTCGAAATTACTGAGATGGATCCTGTTTTTTTATTAATGTCGCTTACGTGTTTGGATGTTCTAGTTTTTAATTGACGTTTCGTTGGCTTACATATATCGCATTATAATTATGGCACGATATCTTATAAATCACTTCTTGTTGCTAATAAATCTTTCCCTCTAATGACATTTTTTTAACGTATTGGATAAATGCATCTTTTTATGTAGGCCCGAAGCAATCAGCAAGAATGACACGGAGATGGTTTTCATATACAGTGAAATGTCGTTCATTATTTATAATAATTGTTTTAAATGTTATTGGTTATGATTGATAGATTTGTTCTGGTGAAATTTAACTCTCGAATTAATAGTCGAAAAAATGAACTGTAATGGACTCTTACTTAATAAAATGTGCACCAATTCTGTAATATTTTTTTTAATGGTTCATCGGATGAAATAATAACATTAATCTGTCAACTATACTAAATGCCACACTTCTGTTGTAATACATCGGATATTGGATGGGAGTTGAAATTCAGAAATCTTTCTGAAAAGATTGGTTTTTTGTAACAGTCGAAAACAATACTACTATTCTTTACATTGATGTCTACATCCAGATAACAGTCTGTCACCATCACTCATTTCAATTGTGAATTGTAGTTGTTTATATAATGAATTGAATACATTTCAAATATCATCCAAATATTTCTCGAGGACATAGTAACCGCCGAATTACAATCTCCTCCAATTCTTTCAAGACAATATTGGCTATGGTCGGCGACCATAGGCGTATCAAAAATCTTTGTAAAATTTTTTATTGAGAGTGAAGAACATTGGATTTAAAATTTAAAATCAAAGTTTGATAACTATGATAAATTCTTCTTTGAGTATGTTCATGTCTTTTGAAATATGTTCTCATCTATTGCATATACTGTCAATCCCTAATTCGGTAGATACGTTAATAAATAATGAGATGACATCCAATAATGTTAATTTTAGATTAGGTTCGAAATAAATTTCTTCCAACTTATCAACTAATTGGAATTTTTTATGTGGCTGTGTACTTTAGATATGCTATTGTTAGTAATGTTATGTAAATAAATAGATAGTGTAACGGGCTATTGATCGAAGAAATTAGAAACTATTCTTAGTTTAGTCTTAGAAGTGTTAATTTTGTGAATTTTTGGTGCACTGCATGATCGGAAAATTGATTTCGTCTATTGTTAGTAGTCTCTTGTAAATTGTTTTTTCTATAAATTTATTGTTTTTCCATTTTAGTAGTTTTCAACGCAATTCCGCAATAAGTTTTTTGGTAGAATCCTTGTTAATCTTTTGATAGATATTGTTATCGGATAACAATACCTGCCAAATATAGTAATTCCATTCTTATTTTTTTTAATAGCTTTCTACGTCAAAAAAATCTGAAAAATCTAAAAAAAATAATCTCATGACTGTAATTAATTTTTTGCACTTTAATTGTTAAAATTAATTTTTTCGATTAAATATTTTCTAATGTCTTTCTTTTACATAAATTTCAAACGCAAAATTTTTTTATGCAAATATTCTTGTTGACAATAATATTCAGATGTGCAGTTCGCTATGAGATCGAAATTGGAATTTGCAAATTTCTGAATGATCTACATACGTATCATTATTCTTTATAACATTTCTATGCGATTGATTTATCACAGCGGATGTCTTTTTCATGAAATTGAACTATAAAAAAATTTCAGAAAAGTTACACAAAAACCTTTTCTTCTTTTTAATTTCAAAACTTCGTTCTAATTAATTCACTCATAAGTCACATTTGGTTTTTTAGGCTAACATCTCTTAGTTTGATTTCTTTTGATGTCGGATCTATTTAATAAAGTTTATAATTACAAAATAATCCAATCAAATTCACGACGGGTACGTACTTATAAATATCACTCAGCGTGATTAATATTATTAACAACTTGATGTATTAAATTGTGTAATTAAAAATATTATTTATTAGTGACTATACGCTTGTCTTTTTACATTCCTTATGTTATTAATTGACGAAAGTTTCAAATATCTAAATATTTTAATTATTATATTGTTTAGGAAAATGTTCAATAACAAATTGCAGATATAAAATTACTTAAATTCAATAATTGGAACTATGTGATTGTTTGAAATATTATATATACAATACTTAGTTCGAACAATATGGTGCACTAACATCTTTATTTGAACAATTTTAATTCTCTACATTTTTTTTCTTAACAAAATCTCTAAATAATTACGTGTTCAAAAAATAGTATCATTATTTTTTCTAAATACGAATACTCTTTTTTTTTATTAACTATGTTCTTATCATTTTATTACTAAATTCATGTTTATGTTATCATCGCGTGGAATAAATGACAGTAAAGTAAGATACCGAAGTCTTTACTAACTGCAATTAAATTATCTCTTTTTACGATATTCATTTGTAATATGGTAGATATTCATTTTATATTACCGTGGCAAAACACTCCATAGATCCAGTAAATAGTCCACCGATATTCAAAGTAAACTCCTTAGCATTTCTTTGTAGTAGAAACAATATCATTCTTTGTATATGTATTGGAGCTCTATACCATTGAACGTTGTACCTACGAAAATGTACATAGATAATCGTTAACTGAAAAAAGAAACTTTCTTATCGATTCACATTTACTGATATCACTGACAAGAATTTTCTTATGATTACTTTGATTTTCGATAAAAATAACTCGCAGCGTACTACACGGAATGAAAAATTTGATATTAAAAGATTATAATAATATTGTAAAACCATGTGCATATTTTTGATTTAGAACGATGTTGATATATTAAGACTGCATTGAAAATGACTCGATTGGAGTCGAAACGATTGTTAATTGTAATTGTTTTATATAAATTTTTAATGCTAATTTAAATTAAAATTTTTTTATACATTACTGGCTCTTTGCCCTTCTTGTATACTACATTGTTTTATACGTACAGAGCCTTATTATTATTTATTAGTTTTTCTAATCAGTTATTTTCAATTATGCTAATTTGTTGTGTAACTGTATTACTTTTTATATCAAACGAAATTTTTCTATTCTTAAAAGGCACACAGAAGGAACACTTTTACTATGAATTATAAATTGACAAATTCACAACACTGGTTATAGTAAAATTGCTATCACAAATCATTTTTTTTACGAACAAATTTTCGTTTACGTCGATTTGCTGTTGTATATGCTA